ACATTGAAATTTTGATCCGTTTCATGAAACGCCTAAGCAGGATACGACTCCTGTACACACAACAAGGTTCATGGTTTTTTGTTCTTGACAATGCTCACCCTCACACATCCAATATCGTCAAACAGTTTCTGGTAAAAAAGAAGTTTATGCAAATTGAACATCTACTAATCTCGCCAGATCTCAATCCTCCAGACTTCTTTCTATTCCCACAGTTCAAACTCGCTTTGAAAGGAAAGAGATTTGACGATATTCCTGACATCTAACGAAATGTGACAAAGCTTTTGAACTCCAACTCAAAAGATTGATTGAATATTAACGTCGCACTGCTCAGCTACACGAGGGCTTTTGGCGACGGATCACGTAATTTTGGACCATGGTCAAGTAACGTGGATGACACCTGAGCTGGCATCCCCTCTCCTAACTATCACACCACACCAACGGGAGGATGCTTCAGCTCTCGACAGATTTAACGTGCATCGCTGCCCTACACGACGGGTCTTTAGTGGTACTGGACTCGAACTCGTGACAAGACAAGCCATGATCCAATACCTATACTACTCGGCTACCGCGGCCACCCATCTCAAAAGAAGGCTTCTTCCAAAGTTTCTAGCACATGTATAGTAGATCTCAGGGGTGCATAGTTATGGGAAGTGACTATTTCAAAGGACAGTAAGGCAACTTTCGTTAATATTTCATTTACGTTAATGTTACGGACTATTCACGAACTTTATTGTCAGAGAATATTATATTGCATTTGCTTTTAACTGATTCCTTTCCGGATATATTGCTGAAAATCCTTATCGAAATTATGTCTAATTAATAGATACATTTTATTATCTAATAAGGATTAAATTTAGAAATAATCCAAGAATACAATTTACTCTTCCAATACTAAATATATCTCTTATAATAATACCGTATTCTAGGCCGCAATATTTTTGCAGTGTTAATGCTACTGAAAATCGGGTGTGGCTTAGAATCGAAGGCAAAGCATTTGTTAAATGGAAGGAATCGAATTTCCACACCTTAACCATCCATTATATCCACTCACATTGATGACTTTTCTCATTCCGCAGTTTATCTCTAGAACTCAGTCTATTCAAAGCATCATTTTCTGCTAAGATTTTGAAATTTTTTTTATATACTCTCTTTCCTTTAATCACCTAAACATCAAAGATATCGGTAATAGTATCAATACGAATTCACTATGACGCAAGTATGAAAAGGGAAGCAATTTTATATGCGGAAAGATACGGAAACCGAGCAGCGGCCACTGAATATTTGATACGGATGAAAAAAATGTATTCCGATGGCGTAAACAAAATGATATAATTTTTGCTTGTAAATGTTTAACAGTCTTTAAAATATCTCTTACGTTCTTTTATAACACATTATTTTTAAAAAAATGTTTCATAACAAATGCATTGGATGACAAGGCAGACACCGTGTTTGAAAATGGCGATGCTATTACCAATTCGAAGTCAGCTGTGACAGTGGAAGTGACGAATCCTTTTAGAGTTATTGTAGGCTTTTATAGTAATTATAGGCTCATGTATGTATTTGAAACTTTTATAAATGCTGGTAATATAAATAAGTTATTAACTTATTATTTCTCAATAAAATCTTTTTTTAAAAAGTGTCGGTCATTGATGGACCCTTTATACTTTTTTATATTTTTTTTTCTCAAACGTGTAGAGATTCGAGGGTTCGGCTTAGAATCGATAACAACCTTTTTTCACTAAAACATTTTGAGAACTTGGGGTGCAGCTTAGATTCGAATAAATACGGTGTGTTTATAATGAAATTTTCTAAGGGTATAGCCATTACAGTTTCTTGAATTAATGGATTAAATGTATGACAGCTGCATGATAAATGTAACCACTTGTTTTACGTTGAATTCAAAACTGACAATAGATTTGTGTTTGTTGTTGTACTTCTAAAACTCAAACTTATTTTCAGATATGAGAAATGTGGGTAAAGATGTTCCAGTATTAAGATTCTTCAAAAAGCTATCTTTACAAAATGACGAAAACAAACTCATAGCGGTACTTCTATACGGGTATTTTTAAATCAAGTGTATTTTGTTTAGTTATGTGCGTTATTATTGTTAACATATATGTACTTTTTAAAGAAAGTTTATGCAAATAGAAAAAATTAGCTAGAGTGAAGCGTATGAACTGATTGGGTGGAAGTATGTCATTGCCTTTATCAGGTGACTATAGTGTCTTAAGAATTTAGCCCAATGTAATGTAATTAAATTTAATCAGTACATCTCATTTTGTTACCATGGCAACGTTGCTTTCATGAATAAAAACGTGTTCAAGTGTTAAATAAACTATATATATTCCATATAATTTTATTTTTTTAATAATAATTGCATTAATTTTATTGTTTGTGTTTAGCATTTTATTGTGATTCCACGTAAAACACAATCCCATAAAATTTTCAAAAAAAGTCTATATTAATGTATAGATTATTAATTATTCTTCTCACAAAAATAGTTTATCTCAATAAAAGTTAAACAACGTGCAATAAAACCACGACATCGAAATTGTTTCTTTAAAGAATGATGAATGTTTCTGAAAATCGTTTGGTAAAAACAGTTCTTAAAAATGCTAGAATAAAATATCGAAATTTGAATTTTTTTTCTTTTGTGAATTAAATAACAGAAAGAAAGAGATAAAAATTCAAAAGAAAATATGGAGAAGCTCATAAAAGTGTTTTTAGTTATGAACACAGGAATAAAAATTATTAATTTTTGTTTCTGTATACTACAAGATAAAACATTCTTCTGCCTAAGAAGATAAAGAAATAAAAGAAATTGAAGCACAACAGTATAAAATAAACCATCAAAAATAATGAAACAATCAATGCCTTTCACGATGAATATGTAAAATTTTTCAGCGAATAAAATGATGAAAATGCTAAAAAGAGCATAAATATATTTTTAATAATAAAATGGTAATATTTTATTAATAAATTAATTCATGAAATAATTAAATAAAAATTAATTCGACCCCTAAGTAAAGATGTTATTGTTATACATTAATATTTATTTAAAATATTTGCTTTCAATTAAAATTATAATTACAGTATATAACTTATTTGAATCTTTTAAATTCATAATATATTATAAGGGTCTTATGGGTGTTAATTTTGTCTCGTGGGTTGAAAATATAAACAATTTTCAAATAGATTTAATTCTTTGAATTTCAAATTAAATAATTCGAATCTTGTACACATTATTTATAAAGGAATGAGGCTTCAAAAAAGAACAAAAAGTATCAAATATAATCATAACTTTAAAAATTATAAGCATATAAAAAGAAGAACAATTTCTGTAAGAAATATTAATTAAATTTTACGTTACACATGGTATTTTCTAAAATAGTAGCTCTAATTACTTGCAATAAGTTGATTCATAAAGTTAAATGTATCCTTACTACACTGTAGCTATTTCTATATAAAAAGACTAATATAAATTGTATTTGTTAAAATATTTAAAAAAATACATTTTTAAAATTTCAATATTTTACAAATATTTTCACAAATACAAAAGATATATAATACTAAAATTAGGTAAGTTTTAAGGAGTGTGATACATTTTATAATTCTATAAAGTTTTATACATCAAAGGCTACTATTTAAAACAAAAGCGTTGTCAACGTAAACATTACTTAATATTTATTACAGAAATGTTTCTTATTTTCATATGCTTATAATTTTTAAAATTATGATTATATTTTAAGCATTTTGTACTTTTTTGAAAACTCATTATTTTATAAATATTGTGTAAAATATCCGAATTGTGTGTGTTTAATTTTAATTTCAAAGAATTATATCCATTTGAAAAATTGTTTATATTTACAGCCCTCGAAACAAAAATAACACCCCTGAGACCCCTTTATATTAACCTTTGAAATTTTTGTTTATGAATAAAATTAAAAAAAATATTAGTTCTTTTTTTTGTTCACTATGATATCTAAAATAATCCCATAATAATATATTTAGATATGTATACTATTTTATTCTTAAATATTTTCATCCGTTTGAGCAATTCAGAAACAAAATGTAACTGAAAAAAACAAAAAAAATTGATGTTCAAGACACTAAAGTATTGTTAGAGATTACAATTTTTTTCTGTCTCTTACAAAAGGGCATAGGTACATAATTAAGCTCTAAAAATTAATATTTTTTAAAAATATATTCCATAAAATAATATTAAAAATAAGTTAAGCTTATTTTTACCCGAAATATACAAAATGAATAATACAAAACAATACCTTTTTTAAATAAGAATATCAAAAATGTAAAAATACGTGTAATCGGAATAAATTCTTTTCACCTTACCTGAGATGCCTCCGGTAGTTTTCACATTTGGAGTACAATAATGAAATAGTAACTGTGTTTTCTCTCAGTTTTTCAATTTTCCGTCTTCAGAAAACCGGCCATAAATTCACGCATGCGCAGTTTCCTCACTAAATCGTAGGAAAAAAATAATCGATGGACAAACACGCCTCTTTCTGTATAATTTTCCTTTTTTATTTAAATATTATTATTGAGTGGCAATGTATAACGTGTCGCTCATAAGTTAATTGACAATTGAAATATCACATACAGGATGATTAACATAAAATGGATTATGAATGCATTAACCACTAATTCTTTCTTTTAAAACAATTGTTTTTCATAATACTCATAACAAGTAATATATATAAAAAAAATTAAGTCAATTCCTACTTAGGTCAATAAAGGAAAATGTTATTTCAGTTACTTTTTATTAAATAGTTACAATTAATATAAATATGATTATACATATGACAGAATCATAACATTAAGTGACAAAATAGAAAGCTTTTTTTGCCATTTTTCATTTTTTTTCCTATGTAGGGGTTGGACTATTTATTGTTTGTTTGTTACTATTTATTCATTAATATTGCATTTAATTATTCTAATAAAATAGTATAGTAAAATAGAAATCACATTCTCAGAAATGAGTCCATCCCAAGTGGGATTCGAACCCACGACCTTTGGATTAGAAGTCCAACGCACAACGAAAGATTTTCCTTTTTATGTATGGTGTTGGACTATTATTTTTGTTTGTTATTATTTATTCATTTTTTATTTTAATTCATGAATTAATATTTGAAAAACTGTATTCACATCAAGTGTCATCCACTATAAGTTTTAAAAAATGTATTTGAACTTGAATGGATGAATAGAAAGTATATATTTTATCGATGGAAAATAATATTAGAAACTGAAAAAGAGAGAAATCGTAAGTTTAATCCTCTCTGTATTTTCTTAATTATATTTTTCAAAAAACGTGAGATGTTTTAAATAAGTATAGCAAATGCAAGTTTTTCTATTTAATTTAAAGAGTTGTTTTAACGATTATCTTTAAGAATTGACTGAAAAAAGTGGAAATATGGAATGTAAAATTCAGTCATTGCATTAAACTATGAATATTTCCCCTTTGATTCCATAGTTAAAGAAAAAAAACACATAAATTTATAAGAGATTAATTTTACTAAAGGAAGAAAAACTTAAGTATAAAAGAATTCAAACGAGAACCAGTTTTCCCAAAACATAAATTATTCAGAAGAAGAAAACGTGTAGAATTGGGCACCATAGTGAAATCTACATACTTTTTCGCCTATAACTAGGAACAGGTCCAATTCAAAACACATTCTAAAGCAAAATAAAAGAGATCTCAATATTAAAAATTATTTTGTGTGCTCATATTACATTAGACGTTACCCGCCCACTTCGCTGAGTATTTCATGATGTTGTATGAATATACAGGGTTATCACAGAAATGAATGACCCGATTACAAAATTTAATAATTCCAAGATGAATAAACAGAAAATGATAGTTAAAATGTCACTATAAGGATAAAATGTGACATTTTTTTCGTACGTAACGTTTCTTGACGCAAAGTGAAATTTGTTTTCACAAATGTGTGTGTTTTCAATATGACTTCCTTTAGTCACCTATATAATATCATTGCGAACACGGTCGCCATGGACTTTTGCTTTTACACAGGCATCCAGTTTCATGGATTTGTTTATACCATCTTATACTTTTAGATGCCGGTGCATTTCTATGGTACTTTCTCCGAAAATTCACGCTGAACCGCGATTACTGAGAGACTTTATGCAAACGAGAGCACACAAAATGTCTTCACTCGCTGCGACGTCATTTCCACTTCTGTTAACAATTACAACACTGCTACGACCTATTTGACAAAAACAAAGTTACAAACTCAAAATTTCATATTTCATCTTTACAATGACATATTAGTGATCATTTTTTATCTATTCATCTGGGAATTATTAAATTTTATAATCGGGTCATTCATTTCTGATAACCCTGTATATATATGCTGTTTATATACATATATAGAAAGAAAGAGAGATCTACGTCCTAGTATTAAATATTTGATTGTACTGAAAAATATTCTAATAGCCCTCGCCTCTTGATCTAAAAAGGGCAGAACATCTAAATAATAATTTGTACTAAGTTCTTAAATTGAAGTAGAATTATCTTTTACGTTCTCGTAACCCCCTCGCCAAGTGGATTTCTTCAAAACTCATTTTTAGCAGATTTCTATACTATAAAATATATATGCTTGCCAACTTTTAAGTCTACTTAAAAGCTCAAAAACGGAATTTCTTCAATCATCAAACTCTTTCAAATCATGACCTTTGAGATTCGATTTTTTAAAACTCGCTCTTTTGTGAATTTCAGTTCAAAAAAAAAAAAAAAAAAAAAAAATGCACTCCAAATTTAATTACGGTAGGCTTGAAAATGGGAATTCTTTTTTTATCAATACTTCTCAGTAACCCCCGCCCCTCCATAAGCAATTTCCGTAAATCCGTTCTTAGCGGATCTATATTCGACAAAAAAAAAAAAAAAACATGCCAACCAAGTCTGTAAGTCTAACAGTTCAAAAACAAGAAATTTTATCTATAACATCCCTTAACCCCTCGCAACTCTCCCTAAGTGTCAATTTTCACAAAACTCAATCTTAGAGGAACTCTATTCTATAAAAGGAACAGGCTTACAAAATTTCAAGTCTAGATCAGTTCCAAAACGAGAATAAATTTATCTACAGGGTATCCAGGCCTTAAGTATCCAAAAGTTGTGGCTTATTATTACGGAACTACCCATCAGAATGTAATAAACTGCTCATCCGGGGATTGGAAAACCCTCCGAGATTTCTTGGGTCTAGTCCGAGTACGTGAGTGCATTATTCGGCAGCCGCAGACGATAAACTTGCTACACTGACTTCATTAGTAAAGGTGTGGTCGCCACATCAAAAGGTGCAGTGAGTACTTTGGTTAACGAAATTTAAATCACACACAGTTACGCGGGTACAGCGATGTGTTCGGACAGAATGTAATGTCGTTACAGGCTTGCCTAATAGACTTATCAGGACTACTACAAAATGAAACATGCACACAATGAACAGTGTCATCTATCACAAAAAACTTAGATACTTGCCAGTTTGAGATACCAAAGTTCTCGTCAGGTTTAAAGTTCTGTCCCATTGTTGGATAGATTTTGAGGCTGCTCGAGCACGTCACTGTGCAAGCGTGACTGATTTAAATTCCATAACCAAAGTACACACTGCATTTTTACCACATCTGTACTAATGAAGTCAGTGTAAAAGATTCATCGCCTGCGATTGCCAAATAATGCGCGCTCGTGTTGTCGATCGGACTAGACACGAAAAATCTCGGAGAGTTTTCCAATCCACGGATAAACAGTTTTTTTACATTCTGATGGGTAGTTCCGTAATAATAAGCCACAACTTTTTGTTACTTGAACCCCGGACACTCTGTATAATGCCCCTTTGAATAATTTTGTAGCACATGCTCGAAAATTAACTTTTTTATGTAGTTTGTACTGTTCTCTCTCCCGTGAAGGGGAGCGATGCACGTTAAATCTGTCGAGAGCTCAAACGTCCTCCCGTTGGTGTGGTGTGGCAGTTAGGAGAGGGGTTGCCAACTCAGGTATCATCCACGTCACTTGACCATGGTTCAGTATTACGTGGTCCGTCGCCAAAAGCCCTCGTGTAGCTGAACAGTGCGACGTTAATATTCACTCACTCACTTACTCACTGTTCTCTCTCACGCTTGTTCAAGCACAATAATTCTGATCGAAGATGAAATTGTTTGTAATTGGTTAATTCTTCTGTATCATTCTTCTCTTATTTTGTTGTAACAAATTTATAAAATTAGGAATCTCTTTTCTACGGAAGCTAATGCATTGAAGTGTTTCCAAAAATACGATCTAATACGTAGTATCCGAAAGAATTTGGAGTTGAGCGAAATCAGAAACGTTACGGAACTGCACAACAACATATTCTAGATACGAGCTTATTCGAATTCATGTGGTAGCGTCTACATTAATAAAACTTATTTGTCGTGATTTTGCACGCAATTACTGCGTTTTGGCCATCTGAATATTGTAGTTATTAGATCTTTCGTTAATTTCATGCATGCATATATTTTTTAAGTACAATATTTATTCTTCTAAATTTACGCCAAATTAATTTTTATTCCGTTATAGGCTTACTAAGCTCGATTAAAATCACGCCAAATAAGCTTTGGACGGAATGTAGATTTTATTCACGATGGTCGCCTCACACTAAAAAAACGAGTTGTGAAGAATAAAAAATTATTGCTGCAACTTATAATGAAGCAATTAAAAATTGTAGAATTACAATCATTAAAAAAAATAAACAAGAAGAAATTTACTTATATTTTCCGTGCAAAACGGCGCTGAAGAGGTACCAGTATAAAGAAGCCGAATGTGCGAAATTTCCAAATGACGAAAGAAAAAAAAAATTAAAAGGAGCGAAAAAATTAAGAAATAAAAATAAATAAATAAAAAATATGAGGTCGAAAGAAGAATTAAATACTAAGAAAAGCGACTTTATTATGAGATGTGAAAACAACCAGGAAATCATTTATTAAAAATAAAACAGTAGAAATTCGCAATTTATTACCATTAAAAAAGAAGAATTCTGGCTGACAGATGTATCGTTATGTCAGTTGGAATTCACACCGTAAGACCCCCAGTCAAAAAATTCGATCACCCAATTTATTATTTTTTTGAGAAACAGTTGTTTACGAAATTTCTCACTGTCTTAGGAAACCGTCCTTGTTTAGGATGCTGACGAATAGCTTTACCTTGTCTACAGACACTGTCTTCATTTAGGAAGCTGACGTTTTTATTGTGTTCACATAGCATTACCCTGCTTTCGGACACTTTTCACTTAAGAATCTGATATTTTTATTGCATCATTGCTTAAACTTTACTTTGTCATCGAATATCGTTTGCAAATGAATTACTGAATAATTTTGGGCTCATTTTATTAATAAATAATATACTCACTCATATTTTCTTTCAGTGAATAAAGTGTAAGTATTCACTGCAGTTTGATAAAGTGTTAATGTCTTAAGATTTTCGATTTTTTTTAAAAAAAATTTTAATCACTTTAAATAATAATTTTCCAATTAAGTTTTACTTTCCTTATTTATAATAAATGTATATCTCGCCAAAATATTATCTGTAAGAAATGTATGGAGTAAAACATTAAAAGTACATTTTTTTCCTTCAATTTTAAAAGTAGCTTAAATATTTCTAAAAACACACATGATATTAATCCCAGTAAAATTTTCTTCATTTTCGACTTTTTCAAATAATTTGATAGAAAAACTTTATTGTTCAATTTTTGAAAGGCTGAACTGCAATTTGAAATTTTAATTAATTTAACTCAGTGTCGTAACAGCCCATGAGGGCCAAGGCCTACTGTGTCCAACTCAGTAAACGCGACCTTGAGCACTGAGGTACATGAGCAGATGTTCCAGTCAGGTGGTCAGTCTGACGCGAAACCCCCAGTGTTAAGTACCCAAGTAAGCTTCGTGCTCATTTATTGGCCCACTGAAGGGATGCAAGGCTGAGCCAACCTTGCACAGCCCGGGATCTGAAACTCGGACCTGTGGTGTGGAAGCTGTGTAACTATTGGCATTGTATTTTATACATTTCTAGTATACAGTGCTGTAATGAAGCACTTAGCAAA